AAAAAAAAAAAAAAAAAACTGTCTATTTTCAAAATTATCCTCTTGATTTTTTAGACAATACATTTGTAATTTGACTTAATTATTGTAAAATTTTGAAACTTATGAAAAAAAATTAAAGAGATGTATTTCGATTGATTTGAAATTCTTAAACCATTTTGAATTTCGTGCAAATTGAAACCTAAAAAAATGAAATTCATTATAATTTTGTAATTTCCAAGAGGTTTGTTAATTTTAAAGTGGCGCAAAATTCTTCATTTCAGGTTAGCCGTCCAAGAATAGAAGCATGTGATTAGATATTTTTAATTCAATTTGAACAAATTCCTTTATATTAGGAAGAGATTTTGAATTAAGCCCAATTTTGTGGTAACTAAAATGAGAAGGGGTTTTGAATTTTAAATTTTTAATTCAAGTTTTAAGGTAATTTTTAAAGTAATCTGATTGTTTGGAATAAAAACACAATTGAATTTTTTAAATCAAATATGAGAAAGGATTTTTAATTTCAAATTACATTCAATGATCGAAATTTTTAGAACTAAATGGAACTAAATCCACCAATTTATCTTTTAGGGGTTTAAATGAATTGTAGTTTATTAATTGAACCAAATTCACCAAATAAATGAACTGCAATTTATTTTGTAGAAAAATAAAAGCATCCGAAGTAGTCGAGTTGATGTTAAAAGAGTTTTTGATTTTTTGTAAATACTAACGTAAGTTTATATTATTAAATTAAGCGTAATTAATTTTTTTATTAAAATAAAATTTGCAGTGGTACACGATTATATTTTAAAGAAAGTTTTTTTTTTTCAATTTGTGAAAATAAAAAAGGACAGCCTAATCTTGCGCAAAAATAAATAACAAACTCCACTTAACAAACTCCACATTTCAGTGCAATAATTAATGATGCACGTTTGTAAATAAAAAATAAAATAAAAGCTTGCTATTATAGCATGCAATTAATGCTCAACTATATTTGACCATAGTTTGACTTGCTATTTTTAAAAATGGTAATTCTTTTTATATAGATATATAGATATATAGATTATGTATTATCTTCTTTTAATTATTTTTTAAAAAATAAATTAAAATTTTACCTCAAATCACATCCTAATTAAAAAAGGAAATAAAATATAAAAACAATTAATACACACATTATCTCTTTACCACAAAATATTAAATCGATTTTTATCCATTAGTATATATCTCGAATAGAGACCTTTTGTTTTGCATGCGCCTCTACTTGAGCATTATTGTGGTCAGTCCACGGTCAAAGCTAAGTAAGTTGAACCATCAATTTTATTACATATAATTGATGAAAATCTTTGGCCCTCTTCTTATCAATATCATATGGTCTACTTCAAATTCACCCTTATTCATTATCTTCATTATTTCTCCACAAGGGTCTCCATCAAATTAATCAAGGACCTTCTATAAATAAACTATAATATATGACATCATGTTGATAAACGAGCCAAACTCGAACTCGTTTATTGACTCGTTTTGTTTGGATGGGCTCGTGCTTAAAGGGTTTCGGGGTACTTTCTTTATTTTAGGTCTTTCCTTCTTCCTTTACTCGCTCATAAGAGCTGGCAGTTCAAAATCGGTCTAACCGATCTTCTAGTGATAACCCAAAATTAAAAAATAATAAAATGAATGAAATAGTATATAATAAAATTAATTATAAAAACAAAAAACAACAATTTGCATTAGATAATTATCTAATATCATATTGGTTATATAATTTCACATGAATGCATGATCTATACAGTAGTTGACAAATCACAAGAGATTTGGGAATCTGGTCTAACATTGATATATTTTTTTATTTATTTTTTTTTTCCTATTCATGTGGCTAATGTTGCATTATGATTTATGTGATGACCAATTTGAACGCAACTTTTTAAATTGAGGTGGTTCATGCAAATTTATGCGCAACATATATACTGAATTTATCACATCATTTGTTAGATCTTACTATAAAATATCTCATACAAAAATTTTCGACTGACCAATTTATAATAATAAAAAACATATTTGATTGCTCATTACTGCTATGTTTGGTAAAAGTAGCTGATAAGCTAGTTGATTAATGATAAACTGTGATCAGTAATTTTCGAACTTATAGCTGAAAAGCTAGCTTATATGATAAAAATATTTGGTAAAATTAGTTGATAAGCTTGCTAGAATAAAAAATTCAACTAACTTATTTAAAAAATTGCGTAAAGAAACTTAGCAAATAAACTCGAGCTTTTTAAAAAAACTTGTCCTACCAAACAAGGCCTACCAAATAGCGTTTCATATACTTCACCTTGCCACTAGCCACATGTATATATGGTAATCAAGTCTATAAATTACTATATTATTTTCTTAACAAAAATGATGATGACATTTTATATTGTAGCAATTAAGTGATATTACAGATAGAAGTAAGATTTGGATTTCATTTTATACAAATTGTACTAATTAAATGTGATCCAAATTGCGCCTATATTATAAACTGTACGAGTCAAGCTAAGATCGACCCGTTATAAACTAATGGAATACAAACTTAGCTAATTTCTCGTATATTTCTAGTCAATTTCGAGCTTTAACGAGTCGAATGAAGCTCATGAGCAGTTCGTTTCATTTAACAATTCTACACACAATCCACAATTCACAATACCAATTCCAACAAATAAGAAAGAAAAAAAAAAAGACACACTTAATACACT